CACACACACACACACACATATATATAAAAGTTTATATAGAGCCGAGGTTCTAAACAATCAAATTAGAGCCCATCTCAAAAATTTCACTAGAAGAGGTTGTTTTGATGCCCAAATATCCTCAAATTGATCATCTTGACATCAAGATGCATGGGGATGAGAAAAAAATAGATTTCAAGTTTTGGAAATAATGCATCTTGGAATGCATTTTTGTACTATCAATTTTCAATATTTTCAAGTTTTTATAGATCTGCTCGATATACACAATTTTTGAAGCTTTAAATTTTATAATTAGAGATGTAAATATATTTTGAGGCTATCACAAAGATTTCCAGTATTGAAACCAAAATTTTCGACACTATTTGAAGGTGTTCTTTAATTTGATTGTTAGAGCCTCAACTCTATAGACATTGCACCCATATATATAATGTAACAATTGTAAAGCATTACAAAAAGGACCCAGTTTAATTCTATTTTTGAGATGGATTTTAAGACTTAATTTTTAAGGACATGTAATATCTAACATGGAGATCATAAATATGAAAAATAAATAAATTTTGAAAACTAAAAATAATAATTCTAGTAAGAAAACATTTGGATTGTTAGTTTCCATTATTTTTAGATGGAACACCTACTTGCATCCATCTTTAAGATGGTTGCTTTACACTTTCTGGAATGCATATGTAGAAATTCGGTCCAGCCCGCATGAAACATTTTTTCTTACAAAAAAGTAGAATTACTATTCTAAAAAATATTACTTTAGGAATCATAATTTTATAATCAAAACTTTCTTATAATCTAAGGTGGCATTATAGCATAGAAAAAAGCTAAAAATTATTAGCTAATTATTAATCCAAAATGTAGAATGTATTCATCTAAATTTATATAGGGCTCTCTTTGAGACGTCGGATCTAAGATCAAACGCTGAGTGGCTCTCTTGATCAAAATTGGATGGCTGGATAGTAGGGGGCGGATAGAACTTCTATGATGTAGGGGAAGCATAGAAACCTTTCCCATTTAGGGCAAACTTTCTATGCTTCCCGTATAACATAGAAGTTCTATCCTCCCCCTCATCCAACCGTGCATTCTGAATGGAGGGTTAAGATTGCCCCATTCACAATGTCTTAGTTTTACATTATTTTATTTTTAATTTTTTTTCTATAAACTATTTTGACACCAAATTTTGGACGTCCATTCCTCTATTAACTCTCACTAGCGAAAGATATAAATTTTTTTTTTCAATAAAATAAAATGACCAAAATAACCCTAAAAGTTTCAAAGGGTATTTTGGTCATTATATTTTATCAAAAAGTTATTTTTAATATTTTTACAGGTGTGACTCAATGAGAAGATGATACATACTAAATTTCATATTCATACAATTTGTATAAAAAAAGCTAAAAATAAAATACTTTAAGACGTTGGATCTAAGATCAAATGGTGAGTGAGTCTCTTGATCAAAATTAGACGGCCGGATGATAAAGAAGGTAGAACCTGATGTAGGAGAAGCGTAGAAACCTTTCTCATTTATATATCCCCAATAGTACTAAGAAGTTTAAAGGCTATTAAATATACGTACGAACAGTCAAAACTACTAGAACTTAAGTTCTAGGAGAATGTAAGCTAATGTATAATATGAGTCATGCTATCTATAGTAAAAAGAGGAAAAAGTATTCGACTAAAATATTTGGCAAAATGAGAAGGAAAGAGGAAACATTAGAGAAGAGGGGAGATGAAGATCCGCATGTTTATGAAGCGATGACTTGGATACCTTGGAAGGTTTATTAGTACGTGAAATGAAAGTATATTTTCATTTATAAGAATATTGACTTAAGTAACTCTAGTTAAGAAAGTTAAAATATTATTTGTTATTCTAAATCAGTAGTTTAAAAAATGGATCGGTGCGTTGGATCGGGCACTCCAAAAATCCATCTGGATTGGTGAATCGGCGATTTGGATCGGGAATCGGTCGAATCGGTTGGATTAAGCTTTAAAAGAAATCTACAAAATTTATTAAAATTCATTGTAAATGTTGTCTTCTAGGAATCCAATAAAAAATAAGAGTATTACATTATTAACTTTCATTTTTTTCATCAAGTTGTGAATATTGAGATGTTCTTTCCCTGTATAAACTTATGTTAACCATTAAATTTATATCACAGAAAAGAAAAATCATAGAATTATCATGGATAAAGTATATAATCATACATGAACTGCAATAAAGAGTAAACTAAATCAATGAAAAAATGGCTACTAAAATTTTGAATTGGCGGAAAACCATAATCTGCTAAAAAAACCCAAATTATTACCACCTAACTAACTATAATCCAAAATTATTACAACCTAACTAACTATAATATTATATATTGAAATTAAAATTGTTGGTTTACATTCTAGAATTATTTTATTATACAAATAATAACAAATCCAAAATATTTAATAATTTTATCTAATTTAAAATGTATTGTTGACAACTGTAAGGAAAATAGTACATTACATGATTTATAATGTAAAAATTAATAAATAAAATAAAATATTTGGTTATCAATGTAGAAGTTATTAGAATGCGTACCAATTTTTGAAATAACACTTTAATTTTTAAAAAATTTAATTTTTTAAGTATCTAGAATAAATTTAGTGGAAGAGATTGTTAGTAGACAGAGAGAGATTTCAAATAGAATAAAATTTTTATTTTTATTTTTTTTGACGACATTATTTTCTGTTTTTTTCCAACAAAAATAGAACGCGATTGTTAATAGAAAGATAGAGATTTCAAATAGAACAAACTTTTTATTTTTTATTTTTTTTGAAGACATTATTTTATGTTTTTTTTTACAAAAAAAAAGAAATAGATAGCGCCTAGGCTAGAATTCAAACTTGAGATGTCTAAAAAAAAAGTGGAAGTGATAACCAACAACACCACATCACAACATGTGACTTTATTTTCCATATTAAAAATATATATTCAATTTCTGTCTTAATTTAATGCATGCCCAATGTTTGTGGGAATTATCCCACATCCAAGGATGAGTGTCACATTTTTTCTTTAAATGGCTATGTAATAAACAATCAGGTACACATGTGAAAGCGCGAGGGCAGCCCAATGTTTGAGAGGAGGTGCCACGGGTAGCCGTGATCTTTGAAGTCATACAGAACCCGACGATTCTACTCTAGAACAAGGCGATTTCCAATTTTACATAGTAATCGGCATGGGGTTATCGCCCGATTTTACACAGTAATTGGTATGGGATTATCGATTCCCATGCTGATGGGTTTGAGGTTGCCACTAGCTAACATATCGCTGAGAACCCAGCGATCTGTGAAGTCATACAGAACCCACTAGCTATGAAGTCATACAGAACCTAGCGATTCTACTCTAGAACAGGGGGATTTTCGGTTTTACACAGTAATTGGCATGGGGTTATCGATTCCCGTGCAAGTGGGTTTGAGGCGGCCCAGTGGGCTTGAGGCGGCATGGGGTTATCGATTCCCATGATCGATTCCCCGTGCTAGTGGGTTTGAGGTTGCCACTAACTAACATATATCGTTGGACCATGGGGTTATCAATTTTACACAATAATCGGCATTGGGTTATCGATTCCCGTGATCAATTCCCATCGGCACGAGAATCGATAACCCCATGCCGATTACTCTATAAAATTGAGCGATAACCCCATGCCGATTACTGTGTAAAACCGGAAATCCCCCGATTCTAGCTAACATATCGTTGGGGAATGGGGTTATCGCTCGGTTTTACATAGTAATCGGTATGGGGTTTACATAGTAACAGTATGGGGTTATCGATTCCCGTCCCGATAGGGCATGGGGTTATCACTCGATTTTACACAGTAAT